GTTATAACCTCGATTTAATCATATTTAATTAATTAAAACAATTAATTATTATTATATTATTATTAATTATATTTAATTATTTTTATATTATTAATTACATTTAATTATTTTTAATAAGCGATTATATTACCTAGATGCTATTCTACATTCATATTAGGTCCTTTTTTTTCCCCGTGCAAATAAAGGCTATCCACTTGATGCTACAAATGTTTCGAAGCATTTTTTGATTGGTCAATTAGTAAATTCTTTCTTCTGATTGGTCAATTAAACGTTTCGAAGCATTTGTAGCGTCAAGTGGACCGCATTCAAAGTGGATGCTTATGCCAACCCATCTCTGAATCGTAATCACCATGAGCATATGCAAATTAAAAAATCCATGACGTCACTTTGCTCATGCAAAATGTTCAGGGAGTGAATCGGATCGCGACAGGTATTTTTATTCAAAATTTAAGATGAGTTTAGAAAATCTTTTAATGCAATTTTAAAGAAAATTATTTAAACCAATATTCGACAATTTTTAATAATTAATACTTGTTGATTATTGAAAATTTCAAAATGGTAGAAGATTTTTCGACTCAGTCGAGTCGCTCTATCAGCGCACGAAATATTTGGCGATCATTCTGGGATACCTTGTATGTGTAAATGAGTTTGCAATAGGCGATAAATTTATTATCTTAGAAAAATCCTATATTTAAATTCTTCATATCATGAAAAAAAGTAAAATATTAAAAATAAAAAATCCATTTTATAGAGCATGATCAATATATTCATGATTTCTGATCAATTTTTTTTTTTACAAAAAGTAAATATTGCAAAAAGTCATTTTTTCATATTAAATTTCAATTTCGGGAATCTAAGATTGGAGATTTGGCTTGCAGCATCCAATCTTCTGTTAGTTGACTCCACCTCTGTCATCAGAATCATCTATGAAATGCTATTAAAGATTATCTATCTTGGATAAATTTTCGTCATTCACTAAAAAGGTTCCAAAGGCCCGGAGGTAATTGAAAAGCGTTGACATTACGAGAACTGATATAAATTTGTGATTATTAACATAAATATTTAACTAATATGTTGTGTTAAATTCATGATTTTTTATTATTATATAAATGCTTCATATTCAATAAGTATGCATATACTTATAATGTTATAATTTATAATCTCGTATACAGGATAAGGCAAAAGTATCGGAACCCCTAATAAATATCCTAGAAAATATAAATTTTACAGAAGTGTTTCAGGTAAAAGTTGTAGAATTTAAAGATTTTTTTTACTGATCTTATCAGTTTGACTTTAAATGGCATCGCCAAGATCAAGATCAAACTGATAAGATCAATAAAAAGATCTTTTTAAATCTTACAACTTTCATCTGAAACACATATTTTCCGAGATACTCAGGGTTTCGATACTTTTGCCTCATCATGTATATTGCTGCAAAATTACAATTTTTTCACTACAGTTATTATCTTCATTAATAATCAAACTTAGATAACATTAAAATTGCATAAAAGTTTTAAGTAAAAATCGAGTATTATTGAGTTCTAAGGTTAGAATCCTACGAGATGTATATATCGTGTAACCGCGTAATCAATCAGAAGAAGATCCATTGTTTAATAGTTTCATGTTTTTATAATTTACTAATTATTAATTGGTTATGCGTTTACGCAATACGCGGCAAATATGCCTCATGGGATTCCACTCTGAATATACATATAAAATATGTCTATGAAACATCAGGATACTAATAAATCATAAAATTAGTATTATCAATTTGTTCTTATTATAAACTTTCAAACCATAATATGAAAAAGAATTTACTATATTGTTAAGCTATCAAAGAAATGCATATTCAGAAAAATAAGAAAATAAATGTTTTTTAATGGCCTTAAAAAATTACTATTAAATTACTTTGATTAAAAAATTCACATTTCATTACTATTCTAATGTCTGAAAAATTATTTTTTATTGCATTATTTTATATAAAGAAGCAGTCATTTCATTTTTTTGGAACAACTGAATGACAGCAATGACTATTTTAAATCTGGAATTTAGATTTATCATATTTATAATTCCACATATATTTAACTTTTATAGATTTCTTTTCACAAATTCTTACTCTGGAATGTACATACATTCATTTTAATTAGTTATCTGCGCACAAGATTCGTTATTAGAAATGAGCAAAAGATTAAAGTAAAATGTAAACGAAAAAATCGTGATAGATGGAGTTCTACTGTATGTATTAAGGAATGTTAACGCATCCTAGCAAGTATTACTGGCAAAAAATATGTATATACAAAGTTCAAACATTTTTAAAATTCGACTGCCAAAAATCCTTGGTACTGGTTAGATCAGTATTACACACACACACACACACACACACACACACACACACACACACACACACACACACACATCACATCACATCACATACGCGCGCGCGCACGCACACACATTATGTATATTATTTGAAAAATAATCGATGATAAATCATACAATCAATGATTAATAGAATTAGTAAATAAAAATTCACAGCTCACTATAATGCTCCAGTATCTAACAAAATTTTATCAAGAAATATGAATATTGCATTTTTTCAATTATCGACAGTTTTTGCGATCCATTTCTATAACATTAAATTCGCATAACGATCGAATTTAATTTCGACATTCGGTATTTGCGAAATAAAAGATATATAAAAATTTTAGCGTATCAGACGACGCACACAAAAATCGGAGTTTTGTACATTTTGACAAAGTCTTTTTATATCGTAACATGCGCAAACATATTTGTATTTGAGATACTTTTACATTAGTTTATAATTTTGCTGTGAGAAACAGCCCTTCCTCTCGTTGACGAGAGCAACGAAAGATTTTGTCACAAAGACGATTTGACAATATTCGTTTACAACATTCTTTTTTATTATTGTTAGCCTATTTTTATGATTAAGTAGCAGTCAAATTCGATAATTATTCAGAATTTAATCAGTCAGGTATTCTTTCAATTTCATTTGCGCGCACAAATGAATATAATTATAGAACTAGTTCAAGTTGATATATAAGAATATAAATACTTTGCGTATTATCACTTTAAGACTGTCATTTGTTTTTTTTTAATCATTTATACTCTTATTGGAGAATCGGAAATGTTAATCTGACAGCATGGCCTATATTTACAGTCATAAAAATAAGATTAGAAAAGATTTTTGTCTAATCTTTGATCTAAAAAAAGAAGCATAAAAATACAATGAAAAAATCCAATTATTTAAAACAAGAAAAAATTTGATATTAACATTTCTTACAAAATATATTTGAACAATCTTATATATGCAGACTGATCGATCTTTAAGAAGCTGCACACCATCAGGAATATGGAAC